GTACGTTATTTGGCCATATTAGGGCATCGGAACGCGGTAAATACGCAATGACGTTACACTGTAGAGCAGGGCAACGGAAAAAAAGTGGAAAAACAAAATGGCCGCACTGAACAATCCCAACTTGGCTTTATTTCATCTTTCAAGCTTAGGCCGAGTGCATCAGACTTTTTTGATACTCAAAAAAGCATTTCAGTGGTTTCACTTATGTTTTTATGTGATTGATGCTATGCTAATATATCTCCCCGAGATGTGTTTCAAACACTACAAGCCAAGTTCAGGACTTAAAAGTGAAACAAAAGTGGAATGATAAATCCCTCATGACATGACTCGTAGTTAAGCGCCCCCGTAGGGGCTCGGGAAAATACTACACAACTTGCAAATCTCTGAATCCATCGAACAAGATGTATGTATTACACATTGACCAGAGGTCAGGTGGTCGGACGGGGAGAGGGTCTTTTACCAAGAACTCGGCGCATAGGGATATGTCCACAACCAGGGTATTATGTACTTTGAACAAAGAAGCAGGGAAGCTAATGTCCATCAAAAGAATTGGTGATTAAAAATAACTCAATCACTTTGGGTAATTTTGAAATAATGCATACCTTGGCATTCTTTGTCCTTCTTGTTGAAGTTGAAGCCCTTTTTGCATTGACATGTGTAACCTCCAGGTTGATTCACGCACTTATACTTTCCACATAGGTCTTTGATATCACATTCGTTAATATCTACGATAACAAAAAAAGATAAAAATCAATTTAACATGAAAAGCTAATTTTTCTCTCTTGATTCTACTGAAGAATTGATCAGTGAAATATCCGGAAATCCAAAGAGCAGTAAAATCTGCAACAAATATTTGGCTGAATCAATGTCAAACAAGGGCGGGTGTGGGCAATCTGTCTTTGATATTTTCCTCGTTTTTTTTTTTTTAAAGTTATCACATATGAGTACTCTCCCAGTTAGAAAGACAGAGTATGCCGTAAAATTGACGCGTAATTTCCAAGTTGGGTACCCAGGCGATGGAGCATCCGAACAGATTTTCGAATCGTAACGAACAAGTCAGATTTTCAGTTTCTTATCCCGCGCTTGTGATAAATCTTCTCATTTCTCTATGTCTCAAAATTCCCATCTGTCTTTTTCCTTCACTGCCAGGGAATCGTCGCACAATCCACCTTTAGTTGCAAGTGAATTAATTGAAAAGGTGTAAACCAATGTGCAGCGTCAGTATGAAAATACACAGGGGAATGGTGCTTTTCGCGCCGATGTTTATTTAACTCACAGCCGAAAGAGCCAAACCGCGTGTCAAGAGTTTGATTTTCAAGAATTTTACGGTATGCTGACAGAAATAAACGAATGTTTTTTTTTTATCTTGTGTGGTATATACTCAAACAATTATTCATATCAGTGTCGGTGAAAGAGGGTCTCAACTGAGTGATGACTTTTACGGCTAAGGGGCTAAAATTTTGGCTATTTTATACAGCTAGCAGTGACGCAAAATGACCCATTAACGATGGGAAACGTTTTAAGGTTAACTTTTGGTATGACTAGTGTTAGAATTTGTCAAATACCGTAGGCTAATTTTTTAGCTGTTTTACGGATAACCCCTTTGAGACCCTTGTAAAAGTGGCGGATTTTTACCTCCACCTAGGTTGATAATTTCTATCTATCACTGAGATTATGACAGCTTTCCTTTTCTAATCAACACAGGACGAAATCACATGTTTCCGTATTTCTGAAACGTGGCGGAAACATGCAACTCCATGTTTCTGTTATGTTTAACATGCACAAAAAGTGGTCCGGTTCCGTTGTATACGCAGCAACGGAAACGCGAGAAAACGTCACGAAACCGGTAACGGAAACACAGGTTATCCGTCGTGTTTCCAGAACGGTTTAACATGTTTCTGCCACGTTTCCGTTTACGGATTCTTGCAATTTCGTCCTGTGCAAGAATCGCATTTCTTTTTCTTATTCTCAACTTAATAGAATGACTATTTTACCTTTGCATTTTTCAGATGAACGAGTTCTGTGGTATCCGCTCTTACAGTTGCACAAGAATGACCCCTTGTTGTTCACACATTCTTCATTTTCACCACACGCCCTTCCAGTTTTACATTCGTCGATATCTTCAAGCAAAGTTAGACATTTCAACACGGTACACAAATAAGACTACTTTACCTTCGCTCGAAAGGGGTAAGCTTCTTCAGAAACTGCTGTGCTGAGTCGGTGGAGTGTATTACAAGCAGCCGAAAGAAAGAGATTGTAAAGGTGACGTTACGAG